TTACATTACTTTTCTCAGTAGACTGCAAGCTCCCTGAGACTAGATATTATTTTTCTTTACTGTGTCTCCTGCACTTAGTGTAACCTCAGTAGGTGTTTGAGTATTAGAACTTTTCCTTTGTAAAGCTACTTTGTTGCTATTCAGAGTTTAGTTTTTTGGTTTTTTTTCTTTCTTTTTTTTTTTTTTTTTTTCTTTTGTTAGAGGAAGTCACTCTGTCACCTAGGCGGGAGTGCAGTGGCATAATCTTGGCTCACTGCAATCTTCACCTTCTGGGTTCAAGAAATTCTGTCTCAGCCTCCTGAATAGCTGGGACTATAGGCATCTGCCATCACACCCAGCTAATTGTGTGTGTGTGTGTGTGTGTGTGTGTATGTGTGTGTGTGTGTTTAGTAGAGAGAGGGTTTCACCATATTGATAAGGCTGGTCTCTAATGCCTGACTTCAAGTGATCCACCAGCCTCAGCCTCCCAAAATGCTGGGATTGCAGGTGTGAGCCACCACGTCCAACCTGTTTTTCTTTTTTTCTTTCTTTTTTTTTTTGGGTGGGGGGGGAGGAAGGCAGGAAGGAAGGGAATAAGGACGGTAGGGAGGAACGAAGGGATGAAGGAAGGAAGGAAGGGAGGAAGCGGGGAGGGAGGGAGGGAGGGAGGGAAGGGAAGAAAGGAAATCAAGCAATGAAAGAGACATTGCCGACCTGGATCTAGAGGTTTACAAGTTGATTTCTTTTTTTTTTTTGAGAGAAGGAAAGAAAAAAAAAATAAGTAAAGGAGAGGAAGAAAGAGGAAGAGAAAGAGGGAGAGTAAATGGAAATATTGCTTTATTTTGAAAAAAATTGGGTATTAATAATGGCCAATCAATGTTTCATTTAAACTTATGGGTAGGTGTGATGTGGTATTGACAAGAATGTATATTTTGTGTAATTGAAGTGGAGAGCTCTATAAATATTAAGTTTACTTGTTCTGGATCTGAGTCCGAGTCCTTGATATCCTTATTAATTTTCTGTCTCATTGAATCTAAGTCTCCTATCTGTGTGTTAGGATCGTTAGCTCTTGTTGCATTGATCCTTTTACCACTATACTATATCTTTGTTGCTTTAAATCTATTTTATCCGATACAAGAATTGCAACTCCTGCTTTTTATTTATTTATTATTTATTTTTGCTCTCCATTTGGTTGGTAAATCTTTCTCCATCCCTTTGTTTTGAGTCTTTGTGTATCCTTGCATGTGAAACAGGTCTGGATGTAACATGCCGTTGAGTTTTGGCTGTGTCTTTTGATTGGGAATTTAGTCAATTTAAATTTAGGGTTACTGCCATGTAATGTTGACTGGCTGTTTTATCCATTTGTTGGTGTAAATTCTTCTTTATGTTGGTGCTCTTTACTTTTTGGTGTATTTTTAGAAAGGCTAATACTGGTTGTTTCTTTCTGTGTGTAATGCTTCTTTCAGAAGCTCTTGTAAAGCAGGCCTGGTGGTAATAAAATCTCTGAGTACTTGCTTGTTCATAAAAGATTTTATTTTTTCTTCAGTTGTGAAGCTTAGTTTGGCTGGATATGAAATTCTGGGCTGAAGGTTCTGTTCTTTGAGGATGTTGAATACTGGCCCCCACTCTCTTCTGGCCTGTAGAGTTTCTGCCGAGAGATCTGCTGTAAGTCTGATAGGCTTGCCTTTGTGGGTAATCTGACCTTTCTCTCTGGCTGCCCTTAGTATCCTCTCCTTCGTTTCAACCCTGGTGAATCTAACGATTATGTGCCTTGGGGTTGCTCTTCTTGAGGAATATCTTTGTGGTGTTCTCTGTATTACCTGGGGTTGAATGTTGACCTGCTTTGCTAGTTTCGGAAAATTTTCCTGAATAATATCCTGAAGGGTATTTTCCAGCTTGGATTCATTCTCTCCGTCGCATTCAGGTACACCTATCAAACGTAAATTTGGTCTTTTCACATAGTCCCACATTTCTTGGAGACTTTGCTCATTCCTTTTTATCCTTTTTTCTCTAATCTTTTCTTCACGTTTTATTTCATTAAGTTGGACTTTGACCTCTGATATCCCTTCTTCTGCTTGAACAATTCGAGTGTTTAAACCTGTGCATACTTCTCGGAGTTCCTGTATTGTATTCTTCAGTTCCATTAATTCACTCATACTCCTCTCTAAGTTGTCTATTCTCAATAGGATTTCATCAAACCTTTTTTCAAAGTTCCTAGTTTCTTTACGTTGGGCTACAACATGTTCTTTTAACTCACCAAAGTTTGTTATTATCCATTCCTTGAAGAGTGATTCTGTCATCAGGAGGCGCTCGTTCTCCATCAAGCCTTGTTCCATTGTTGACGTGGAACTGTGATCATCTTTAGAGGGAGAGGCATTCTGACTTTGAGTATTCTCAGCTTTTTTACGCTGGTTTCTTCCCGTCATTGTAAATTTATCTTCCTGTCGTCTTTGAAATTACCAACTTTCAGATTAGGTCTCTTGAGTGGACGTCCAGGTTGTTAGTTCCCAGGGCCAGAGCAGCGGCGTTAAAACTGATGGTGCTTTTCTGCCCAGGATTCTCCTGTCGGGCTTCCTTCTTGTTTCCGTAGTAGGCGACTCTGCCTTCCCGGGGCTCCAAACCTCGGTCAGAAGGGGAGCTGGTCCCGTTTACTCTGTGCTGAGCGCTGCCGCTTCGAGGTGCCGGCGGAACCGCTGCGCCGACCACGAGAGTCGCGCTGGCGACTCGTGTGTTTCCACCACTGGGGGATCTTCTGCTTCGTGAGTGACCAGACTTTGTCTGAAAGTGTGGCGTCCTCTAGTTCTCCGCGCCTTCCCCTCTCTTTTTTTTTTTTTTTTTTGAGACGGAGTTTTGCTCTTGTTGCCCAGTTGCCCAGGATGGAGTGCAATGGTGCAATCCTGGGTTACTGCAACCTCTGCTTTCCACGTTCAAGTGATTCTCCTGCCTCGGCCTCCCCAGTAGCTGGGATTATAGGCATGTGCCACCATACATGGCTAATTTTGTATTTTTAGTAGAGACAGGGTTTTTCCATGTTGGTCAGGCTGGTCTTGAACTCCTGACCTCAGGTGATCTGCCCACTTCAGCCTCCCAAAGTGTTGGGATTATAGGCATCAGCCACCCCACCTGGCTGTTTTTCTTTTTTAATAATGTTTGAAAGTCTAGAATCATTTTTATGTGCTAGATGAGAAATTTGATGTGATGAATCAAACTCAAGTGTCTGCATCTCAAGTGTATTTATAGAATTATTTTTATGTTTTCTATTTAGATTGAATGTCAGAGTTTTTTATATTTATCTTTAAGCAGTAACCCATTATGGGTATGAAATGAATAAAAAAACTTAAAATAATATTTATCTTTAAGCGGTGAGCCATTATAGGTATGAAATGAATAAGAAAAATAACTTAATGTTCAGAATTGCTTAAATAAAAACTTCAGACTGAAAATTATCAGAATTTAGGTGAGCATTAAAGGATTCAGGCAGCATTCAAAACTGGAAGAAGTTCAGAGAGCTCTGCTTTAGCAGCAGGCTTTTATAGACTGAACGCAGCAAAGTAAAGGAATTATTTGATTGGCTACCGCTAGGGATTTGCCTTATTTGGATGTGATCCAGTGGAAAGTCCCTACTTAGAGGTTTGTTTCTGATTGGTTAAGCTTAAGTTTTGTTTTATATTTACACTGGGCTTCAGTTTGCTTACTAGGCACTGGAGCCAGCTGTCTCAGACTAATGGCTGCCCAATTAAATAAAAAAAAAATTATAATGGCGTATAGTTGTCATCATTAGAGGAAGAAACCAAAGAAGAGACTGTCTTGAATGTGATTGTTAGATCATGGACTAATATACATGTTCACTTAATACCCACAAGTGTGTCTGAATGTCTTCATACTTTCTTGTCATGGATGGGGCCTATTTTTCTTTCTGATTTTTTATTTTTTTTGGGGGGGGATACAGTAAAATACTTAGGAGTTCTTGCAACTTTTTATAAGTTGTTTACATTTTTCTCCAGTTGTTTTATCATTGTGTGTATTTTGTATGTATACCTTTTTTCCTGAACCACTCTGAAAATGGAAATATGCTCTTTTATCCATAAATACTTAAATGTAAATACTGAAATGTATATATTCAAATATGTGAATACTGAAATCAAAGGCATTCTCTTACATAACAACAGTAAAATTATCAAAATCAGAAAATGTAATAATACCATACTATTAACCTAATTCACAGATTATATTCAGATTTTATAAAGTATTTCAATAATGTCTTTTATCGCCTTTATACTTTAATCCAATTCGATCTGTGATCACACACTGAATTTAACTAGCATGTCTCTTTATTCCTTGTCTTTCCCCTTTCTTTTTTCTTGTCTCTTAGAGACAGGGTCTCACTCTGTTTCTGAGGCTAGAGTGCAGTTGTACGATTATGGTTCACTGCAGCCTTGACCTCCTGGCCTCAGGCGATCCTCCCACCTTGGTCTCCTAAATAGCTGGGACCATAGGCGCACGCCACCATGCCTGGCTAATCTTTTTACTTTTGGTAGAGATGGAGTCTCAGTATGCTGCTCTGGCTAGTCTCTAACTCCTTAGCTCAAGCTGCCATCCCAGGTCTCCCAAAGTTTTGAGATGACAAGTGTGAGCCACCGTGGCTCTTTAATCTTCCCTATTCTAAAACAGTTCCTCAGCCTGCCCGATCCTCCACTCCTCCTACTTGCGTTTCCTTGACCATCACAATTTTCAATACAGACCAGTTGTTTTGTACTTAATTTGGGTTTCGTTGCTGTTTCCTTTTGATTATATTAATGTTATGAATTTTGGGCTGAAATACTATAGAAGGGATGTATTCTCCTTAATGCTTCGTTTAGGGAGGCACATTATCAGTGTGTCTCAATACTAGTGATTGGTTAATCATTTAAAGGTCATGTCTGCCAGGTTACTACACTGCAGAATTACTGATTTTTCTCTTTGTGATTAATTAGTAATTTGTTGGATGTATTTTGAGATGATGTTGACTTTTTTTTAAATTTCCTGTTTACTAGTAGTCTCAGCATCCACGTAGTGATTTTTCTTGTTTTTAATTTTTAATTTTTTTCTAGAGACAAGGTCTCACTATATTGCTGAAACAGATTTTGAACTCCTGGTCTCAGGTGATTCTTCCACCTTGGCCTCCCAAAGTGCTGGCATTATAGGCATGAGCAACTGCACCCAACTAGTGCTCATTTTCTAATTCCATCATTCTTTCTATATTTACATGTTGGCATTCTGATGAAGGAATGTTTTCCTTTCTTCCTTGTTGATTGATCAGAAAAATTATGGATTATGCTGTAATCAGTTGCTACCATTCTTTATTTTGATCCTTAAATTGTTGCACAATTCCAGTGGTAGTGCTTTCTAACTGGCTTTAGTAGTTCTTTTGACATACTCTCATTTCTGAGCAGTCTGTTACTTTCTTGCACAAGGTGTTGCATGCTTATCTTTTGCTTTCCCTGTCCTACCCAAGATCAGCGATTTCTCCAAGGATCCTTGGTTTTAGTAAAAAATGTAGTTTGGAAATCAAGATGTGGATGTTCATTTTTACAAGGGGTCACTGCTTCTAGAACCTCTCAGCAAACAGCTAGGAAATGTGTATATGAAAGTGTATTTACATGTGTATTTCTATGTCTATATTTTTTTGAGAGACAGGGTCTTACCCTATCACCCAGGCTGAAGTGCCGTGGTGGGATAGTTCACTGCAGCCTCAAACTCCTGGTCTCAAGCAATACTCCCACCTTAGCCTCTCAGGTAGTTAGGACTGCAGGCATGCCCCAACATAGCTGGCTAATTTTGTAATTTTTTTGTAGAGATGGGATCTTGGTATGTAGCCCAAGCTGGTCTCAAACTCCTGCCCTTAAGTGTTGGTCTCTCAAAGTGTTGGGATTACGGACATGAACCACTGTGCCCCGCCACATTTAGGTCTTTTATTTCCCTCTCTTTTTTTTTTTAATTTTGAGACTCTGTCTCCCTCTGTCACTCAGGCTGGAGTGCAGTGGCATGATCACAGCTCATTGCAACCTCTGCCTCCTGAATTGAAGTGATTCTCCTGCCTCAACCACCTGAGTAGCTGGGATTACAGGTGTGTGCCATTTTGCTCAGCTAATTTTTGTGGTTTTAGTAGAGTCAGGGTTTATGTCATGTTGGCCAGGCTGGTCTCAAACTCCTGGCCTCAAGTGAGAAACCCTCCTCAATCTCCCAAAGCACTGGGATTGCAGATTTGAGCCACTGCACCAGGCAGTTATTTCTCTTTTAATGTAGGTTCTCCTCTAACTCTCTCCGTCTCCCTTTCTTTTCCTAAGAATCTGGGGTGCTTGGACTATAAAGTTTTCCACATTCTAGACTTTGCTAATTGCATCGTCATCTTGCCATTAACATGTTCCTACATCCCCTCAATGTTTTATAAATTGGCTCAATCAGATTCATTTTTCCTTGTTTTTTGGGTCAAGAATGCTTCATTAGGAGGCATATTAATTTCCAGATGTCTCTCATTTTATAATACTGGCAACTGATGATGATAAGCTAGAGTCGTTTTTTTCATTAGGGATATGCAAAATGATGATATTCCAGGTATATTATTTTGTCATTTGTTAGTTGGATTATTTCAATAGAGATCAATTTTCACCAACTCTTTTGGGGAGAATTCTTGCATCTTTTATTTTAGATTCAGGGGTACATGTGCATCTTTGTTACATGGTTGTGTTTCATAATGGTGAGGTTTGTGCTCCTAGTAGGCCCATCATCCAAATAACCAACATCGTGCCCAACAATTTTTTTCAACTTAACTGGAGGTACAGTTCATATAGGAAGGACAGATGAAATGCTTGATTTACCAGATTTTAGAACAACGAGTTTGGTTCTCAAGTATTCTCCAAAAGACAAGTAATCAATTAGTTTTTTTTATAGGTACTATTCTGAACTCGTGATTTAAACATTTTGTTGTGTTTCAATCAATTTCAGTTTCTTTTCTTTCTTTTTTTTTGAGATGGAGTCTCACTCTGTCACCCAGACTGGAGTGTAATGGCATGATTTTGGCTCACTCCAGCCTCTGCCTCCCGGGTTCAAGTGATTCTCCTGCCTCAGCTTCCTGAGTAGCTGGAACCACAGGCATGTGCCACCATAGCTGGCTAATTTTTGCATCTTTAGTAGAGATAGAGTTTCACCATGTTGGCCAGGCTAGTCTTGAACTTCTGCCCACCTTGGCCTCACAAAGTGCTGGGATTACAGGTATGAGCCACCATGCCTGTCCCAATTACGGTAATTTTTTATTGCTCCTGAAATTATCCCATCTTTTTTAGTGGGAGCCTCTTCACATTGACTCTCTCTGTGTCCTTGGGGCATAACTCCAGAAGTGCTTGATAGCCTAGTTGCTTTCTGTTATGACAAGTTTTGTACATTTTTAGCCATGTACCTGGAGTCAACTGTTTCCCCAAAGAACCCTACTTCCTATTATTGGGAAATGCTATTTAGGTTCCATAGTCTGGGTGCTAGATGTGAAAGACCCATCTTTTTCTTTTAAAGTAACAATAAATTTGAGCCTGGACTCTCACCTAAAAAATAAAATAACAATAAATATTTATCATCTCATGTGGTTTCTCTGGGTCATAACTCTGAGATGCCTTAGCTGGATGGTAGTGGCTTGGTGTCTGCTGTCAAGATGGCTTACTTACATTGTGGGCAATTTGATACTAGCTATTGGCAAGAGATCTTCCATGTGGAAGGCTCTTAGGACTGCTTGAGTGTCTCCATGACATAGTAGCTGGCTTCCTTGAGAACAAGTGATCCAAGACAGCCAGCAACATCTTTGGATTCATTTTCTCATCGACGGTGGGTTATAGTGCTCTGGCTATGGATCCAAACAACCTGATGCTGACGCTAGTTATGTGGCATTAACTTTTTTAAAGATTACTTTCCTTAGCTATAACTTTGAGAATAATACCTACCTTATAGGTCCTTTAATATAGGACCTTGGTGGCAATGCAGGGAATTAGAATAGTCTTACTCTTAGTGAGTACACATGGCAAACACTGAACCTGCTGCTCTTACAATATTATCACCATCACTGGTATGAACTGAAGCCCTAAAACCTAGCCATTAAGTTGTCCTTGACAGAAATTGTCTTCCTTCCTGTTTGCCAAAAATTGCCGTGACAGAAAAATTGGTCACAGATTGCAGATATATCCCAAGTATGGTAGAAGGTTAAAGGTTAGAGAATTATAACCACATCTGTTTGATTTTATATATATATATATGCAGAGGATCTTTCATGCCGAATCTTTGTTCATGTAGATTTTAGTTAGGGTATGTGTCATGTAATATAACCCTGGAAGAAGCCAAGACACCACCCCGCCTTGCCACCATCTATTTTCTGGTTTTTGGTTTTTTTTTTTTTTTTTTTGAGACGTCTCGCTCTGTCACCAGGCTGGAGTGCATTGGCGTGATCTCGGCTCGCTGCAACCTGCGCCTCCCAGGTTCAAGAGATTCTCCTGCCTCAGGCTCCTGAGTAGTTAGGATTACAGGTGTGCACCACCATGCCCAGCTAATTTTTGTATTTTTAGTAGAGACGGGGTTTCACCATTTTGGCCAGGATGGTCTGGATCTCTTGACCTCATGATCTGCCTGCCTCAACCTTCCAAAGTGTTGGGATTACAGGCATAAACCATGGTGCCCAGCCTTTCTTTTTCTTTTCTTTTTTAATGATGGGGTCTCACTATATAGCCCAGGCTGGTCTTAAACTCCTAAGCTCAAGCGACCTGCCCGCCTTGGCCTCCCAAAGTGTTGGGATTACAGGTGTGAGTCACCGCACCTGGCTGCCACCCTCCCAATCTTTTAACTTTTTATTTTAAAATATAGATTTACAGGAAGTTATAATGAGAAATATACAGGGTGGTCCATTGGACCCTTCACCCAATTTGCCCCAGTGGGAACATTTTCTGTTACTATAGTATGATATCAGTTGTCAACCATCGATTTTCATTTAGCAGAAATTGACTGAGCAGCTATTATATGCTAGCTCTTTAAGGTATAAAGGATTAAACTCTGACCTTATGGGTTTCTGTCATCTCTCTGGATTTTCACTGTTATTGTTCTAAAAATATGTTTTGTTTTTGGCTGCTTATCGTTGACACTTATATTCGCAAGTTATTTTAATGTTAAACATTATGTTATTTCTCACATTTATATTTGCTCTGTTTTAAAACAATTTTTCATTGTGTTCCCATCTTCCATTTATAATCTTCACAGTATCAGAACCATGTTGCCTGCATTGTCTTATTTTAATCACGTGCCAGTTTTGCAGTGCTACCAAGTCTGGGTCTGAGAGGCAGCTTGTGTGAATCATTTACATACATTTCTGTTTATATTCCCCAAATTAATTTGCAACTTTATATTTTTCTTCCAATTACATGTTTAAAACAGATTTTTAATAATTTAAGAAGGAATTTGTCGTATGTAGGATTTAAAAACTGGCTCAAAAAGCAGAAGCTATTAAACAATAGCAGAAATCAAACAGTATGTAGGACTTTAAATGGTAATTACTAAACATTTGAATGTTCCCAAAAATGTGAGTCTGTGTGTCTGTGTGTGTCTCTACATGTTACTCCACTAGGGACTTGCACAGATAGGTTTTGCACAATATCCTTGCTGTTATTGTCAGCCATAAACAAATTACACGTATTTAACAAGTTAATGTCAGATTGGCCAGGAGCCACCGGGAGGTGTGTACTTAGTGACATCAGCTGGCAAAGAGCCCTGGTAACAGGGAGGGTTGGAAGGGTAGTGAAGAGAGAGGAAGCAGGAGGGAGGGAGAAAAAGAGAGAGACAGAGAGAGACTGACTGTATCTGGGGATTCTGGCAAGGTGAAGAGCTGGTCTGTTTGGCAGGACCTTCCCATCTGGGATCCATCTGTGTTTCCCTGGAATGGGACAGGCAGCTCTAGTCAGTGAGAAATCGCAGATGTGAGAGAGCTGACACATGTCCAGCTAATGAAAGGAAGAGGAAGGCTGGTCTCCGATTGAGCTTTGAAGATTAGGAGGAGAAAAAGGGGAGCTTTTAAATATCTGTGTCAAATAAATTTGGTATATTTAAGAATCTGGATTGTTTATAATCTGGGCGTTTGGGGTAAGTACATTTTAATTTAGTTTTGGGGGTTAAAGTGCACAATTCTCTGCCTTTCAAAGCTTTTTGCTTCTTTCAGATTACGATGATATGAATGTTTTTTGATATTTGATACAAGTTCAGCCTTTCTCAGTTTTGTTTTAATGCTTCATTTTATTTGTTTCTCATTTTTCTGTTGCCACCTTTATATTTGAATGTCATGCTTTTTTGAATGCAAGATTTAGTTAATAATCAGATGTAATGTATGAATTCTACAGCTAGAAAAGTAGTCCCACAAATATTTCTTGAAGGCTTTCCATGTTGGATTGTTCTGTGTTATTTAGAGGGAATTCTTTTTCCCTTTAGTGTGCATAATACAAATAGGCCGTGTTAAAAAGATGGCTCGTAAGACACTCTATTGTCAGATTTTATTTCGGTATATGCAGGCAAATTACAACTAAAAGAGATTGAAGCAAAACTAACAGCATCTCTGCATTTTAGATATATCTCTTTGTAATTTATGCTTTGCTCGTTTGCTGTTTTCTTCTATTTACTTCCTACATATAAAATAAATAACATGAACAAATCTGACTTGAATTGTGAGTTTGGGGTAGTCTTGTTATTTAGTAAATTCATGTGCATATCACTATGTACTGTGTTCTGTAGTCCTTGTTAGTTTGTGATGCCTATTTTAAATTTTTGCTATTTCTTTAATATTTATGTATTTTAGAGATGGGTCTCACTGTGTTGCCCAGACTAGTCTCTTAAACTCCTAGACTCAGGTGATCCTTCTGCCTCAGCCTCCCAAAGTGTTGGAATTAAAGGCATGAGCCACTGTTCCTAGCCACTTTTTGCCTTTCCATACATTGTACTCATGTTTTGCCTCTGAATCCAGGCCTCCTTTTCATATTCTATGGCAAGAACGTAAGTTTGGGAGTTACACAAACTGTATAGCCATTATTCAGTCATTCTTCATCTCAAGCAAGCCACTATTCTCTTTGAATCTCTATTTTGTCTAATTCCTGATTCATGTTGTTTTTGGGGAAATTTGTCTGGCACCTGGCACTTAGTTTCAAGAGTTCTAGATGTTCACTCTTTTTGCTGTGATGGGTTCCTAAACCCCTTGCATTTTGAACTTCAACTCTTGGTCAAGAATGGGTCTGGTCTGTGGTTCTAGTTTTCAGGGCGCCCTTCCTCTTGCTGTACTCCTCTCCCAGATTGTCTGCATCTGTTCTGAATGTTCTGTGTTATCTTCACCAAACTATACCAGAACAGAAGAATTTTGAAAAAGTCAACAAGCAGGAGTGAGGTACTGAATTGTACTGCTTTGTGACAACACTGTTTAAATTGTTCCCCCTACCCCATGACCCCTGCTGGAAAATTCTGTTTTCCCCGCCCCTGTATTACAAGTCATGCAAAAATTTTACCATTTCTGAAATAGGAACTTTAAAAAATATTTTTATTCCTTAAAGTTCTTCAGCCTTTATTTATGTTAATTAGGTAAATAAGTGGGTAGTATAGTATTATTCAATTTCTTCCTTCAATTTTATATTTAGATTCTTGAGGTGGAGGGGACTTTTTTCTTTTACTTTTTTTTTTTTGAGACAGAGCCTCGCTCTGTTGCCCAGGCTGGAGTGCAGTGGTGTGAACTGAGCTCACTGCAACCTCCGTCTCCCAAGTTCAAGCGATTATTCTGGCTCAGCCTCCTGAGGAGCTGGGGTTACAGGCACATGCCACCACATTCGGCAAAGTTTTTGTATTTTCAGTAGAGACAGGGTTTCACCATGTTGGTCAGGCTGGTCTTGAACTCCTGACCTCATGATCCACTCACCTCAGCCTCCCAAAGTGCTGGGATTTCAGGCGTGAATCACTGTGCCTGGCCCTCTTTTTCTTTTCTTTTTATTTATTTTTTTCTTTTCTGGAGACAGGGTCTCACTCTGTTTCTTATGCTGGCATGCAGAAGCATGATCATGGCTCACTGCAGCTCTGACCCTTTCAAGGCTCCGGTGATCCTCCCACCTCAGCCTCCTGAGTAGCTGGGACCACAACATGCACCACCACGCCCAGCTAATTTTGGTATTTTTTTATGCAGCTTGGGTTTTGCCATGTTTCCCAGGCTTGTTTCAAACTCCTGGGTTCAAGCAGTAGTGCCTCCCCAACCTCCCAAAGTGATGGGATTACAAGCGTGAGCCACCACACCTGACTTGGAGAAGACTTTTTTTTTTTTTTTTTTAAGATGGGGTTTCATCATGATGGCCAGGCTGGTCTTGAACTCTTGACCTCAGGTGGTCTACCCACGTTGGCCTCCCAAAGTGCTAGGATTACAGGTGTGAGACACCTCGCTCGGCCAGAGGAGACTTTTAAAATGGAACTTTTCTCAAGTTTTCTTTTATACCAAATTGACTAAAATGATTTCATAAAAATTTGGGGGCATCTCTTTTGATAGGTGCATTGTTCAGCAAGCATCTTTGGGACTTTTCTGTATACTTGAGAGGATATAGTGTTTATACTGAATTCACATGGTACTCCTTCAGTGAGAAAGCACTTTCCATTGTAGCCCAGGAGACTTGAGTGGGAAGAAAAGGACTTAATGCAGCCGGGCTCGGTGGCTCACGCCTGTAATCCTAGCACTTTGGGAGGCCCAGGTGGGTGGTCACCTGAGGTCAGGAGTTCATGACCAGCCTGGCCATCATGGTGAAACCCCATCTTAAAAAAAAAAAAAGAAAAGAAAAGGACTTAATGCTAGTGTATTGTAGGATCAGGTCTTCTACAGAGGTCTTAAAGGGGATTTCATGTGACTGTGTGTCCATGCCAGGAATATTTCTGGTGCTAGAGTTTCAAGAAACATAATAAATAAGAAATAATATGCATTTTAATATGTGAAGATTCACTCACTATAAATAAAGTTGGGTGATTAAAAGTCCTGCCAGGACCTGACAGTTCAGGAGCGTACTGCTTGCTATAGAGGTTTGCAGATATATTTGAGTTGAATACTGGAGAAAATAATGGTTCTTTCTGAAGATTATGAAAGCATCCTGAGAAGCTTACTGCTATGAAATGAGGAAATTCTCCTAATTTGGCTTCCAGTAATGACCCAAGGATATTTTCATAGTGAGGGTCCTTGTTGGGCTGGAGGCACATAATGCAATAATGCCAATCAACTGGAGATGGGGATAATGACGTTTAAGTGGCTTTGCTGGAACATCAAAAAATACTTCCGAGTGAACAAATTTATTTAATACACAACTGGAAAAATTCAAGTAGATCTGAAAGATTGGTTCATTAATGGTTGTTATAAGGGTACTCAATGTTAGAAGTACTCATAAGTCCCCAGAGATGACCTATGGACAGTGTCAGGATTGGAAAGGATCCTCAGGGTAACCTAGTCAAACACATTATTTTATAGATAAGGAAAGTTGAGGAAGGATAATGGGATGGAAAATAGTCTCCCTGGCTCAGAGTTCAAAACCCTGGTTACTGGCTGAGCTTAGACTAGAATTGTGTTGAGTTTCTAGGACACCTTTTTTTTTTTTTGCAGGGGGTGGAGGGTGGGGGACAGAGTCTCCCTCTGTCGCCAGGTTGGAGTGCAGTGGCACAATCTCAGCTCACTGCAACTTCGACCTCCCAGGTTTAAGTGATTCACCTACCTCAGCCTCCCAAGTAGCTGAAACCTGAAGCGTACCCCACCACGCCTAGCTATTTTTTTTTTTTTTTTTTTTTTTTTTTTTTTTTTTAGTAGAGACGGGGTTTCACTATGTTGGCCAAGATGGTCTCGATCTCCTGACCTTGCTATCCACCCGCCTCGGCCTCTCAAAGTGCTGGAACTATGGGTGTGAGCCACTGCACCCGGCCCAGGACACCCATTTTAAGAATGTTTCTTTGAATTGCCTGTTATATGTGACAGTATGGTAAGGGATTTTTTTTAAAAAGGTGGTACCTCAGAGAGGAGATAAAATGTACAAAAAGTGGCTGGGCGCAGTGGCTCATACCTGTAATCTCAGCACTTTGGGAGGCCAAGGTGGAAGGATCAAGCCAGGAGTTAGAGACCAACCTGGCCAATGTGGCGAAACCTAGTCTCCACTAAAAAATACAAAAATTAGCCGGGCATGGTGACATCCACCTGTAATCCCAGCTACCTGGGGGGCTGAGGCAAGAGAATCACTTGAACCTGGGAGCTGGAGGTTGCAGTGAGCCAAGATCGTGCCATTGCACTCCAGCTTGGGTGACAGAGTGAGACTCTGTTTCAAAAAAAAAAAAAAAAGTGCAAAAAGTAGTGAGTCTTGAAAATTAGTACCAATTGAGGGAATCCGGAGGTAGCATTTGATCAGAATTTTAAAAGGATGGGAAGGATGTGGATCTCTCATATGTGGAAGGAGCACAGTGGCAGGATGGAAAAGTTCCCTTTCTTCTGGAGCTCAGTGCCTTAAATTAAACTTTATTAAATGCATAATTACATAGTATTCATTTCTATCATGTTTTGAAGTATGTCTAGCTGTTGCTGTCTTTCCAAATCCAAGATCAGTTGTTTACTTCTGAGATACTTATCATTATGCATACATAGCCATCTTCTCTCTCTTTTTTTTTTGAGACGGAGTTTCGCTCTTGTTACCCAGGCTGGAGTGCAATGGCGCGATCTCGGCTCACCGCAACCTCCGCCTCCTGGGTTCAGGCAATTCTCCTGCCTCAGCCTCCTGAGTAGCTGGGATTACAGGCACATGCCACCGTGCCCAGCTAATTTTTTCTATTTTTAGTAGAGACGGGGTTTCACCATGTTGACCAGGATGGTCTCGATCTCTTGACGTCGTGATCCACCCGCCTTGGCCTCCCAAAGTGCTGGGATTACAGGCATGAGCCACCGTGCCCGGCCTCCATCTTCTCTTTTATATGTGTGATTTATATACCAGGAAGCCGTGATTTAAAAGGTTTCTACCATAATGGACTCTGGATTGTTCAATTTTCCCTCCAAGTTCAAGTCAGCGAATAAAGGAATAAGTGATGGTTGTATCTTGCAGAAAAACAACCTC